ATTTTATTTACGAAAAAATCCTTCCAAAGCCGAATTGCGTGAATTGTATCCGGTTAATATACTTAGGTGATTACATCGAGGAGAATGAAATGGGCTTGCAAAATTTTTGGACTTAGTAACGAAATAATTCCTAAAGGTTTAATATTTGCTGTGCCGCCTGATAAACGCTCGAGGTGTAGACCGAAGCGAAGTTGAGAAGACTACATTTAGGCCGATCCGAAGGGACTATTCATTGTTGTGTGGAGGCGTCCTGATTTATTGCTTCGAGCTACATGCCCAACCTTAATCTCCTGGCCTTCATATCATAAGATATTGATTGACCAGTTTCTTTTAGCTGTTCTTTATTGTTCTTCCTCCTCCTTGTGTTAAGGTTCTGATCACATATATGTCCTGTCATCGTACGGAGGACTTTTCTTTCGAATCTCTCAATTCTGCTTTTTAGGGTGCCGGTTGTAGCCCAGATTTCACAGCCGTACTGAAGAAATGGCTTTATCATGACGTTGTACTTCCTTAGTTTGAGATTTCTGGAGATTTTCCTGGATTTCAGTACCCTTGAAAGAGAGAAGGAAGCTCTGTTCGCACTTGTTATTCGCTGGTCTATCTCCGTTAGTTGATCATTTATTGAGGTTATTGTGGAGCCGAGGTATTTTAATCTATCTATTTTCGGGAATCACTTGGAGTCCACGCAGATCATATTATTAGGGTGAATGTTTCGGCTAACTATAATATATTTTGTTTTATCTTCATTGACTTGTAGCCCGCTTTGCTCTGCTTCTCTTAATAGAGTCCGAGCGAGTCTCTCAACATCTTGATTGCTTCCGATGACAGCTATATCATCCGCATACCCAAGGATTTTATGTTTCATTCCGAAGTACAGCTCTCCATCTTCGCGTGATGTTCTCATTACTTTATATCTACAATATACTTTACATCTATAATATAACAAAGTTTTTCATTGTACATCATTATTTTTTATTAATTGGAATAGATTCTGTATCAATTTTGACATAGCATTGTTATGAAGAAGAAATTGCTTGTTTTTGTATCTATTTCCAGGATTCTATGTATTTGAGGTGTATTTCATTTATTACATTACTCACTATGTAAATATGTATATTTACTTTAGACGGCGACCGGTGGAGGGTGGTTTGTAGACAGCGATTGATAATGTCGGCATCGAACCTTTTATTATTAAGCCTTTTATTATTATTATTATAAATACAATCTTATAAAGTAAAAAAATCTGGTGCGGTGCGCGCATCACACAACTTTCACTTGCCACCCTCTTCTAAGCAGAAATAAGTATTTTCAGACAAAGCGAAGTGAAAGTAAGAATTATATACTCTATATTTATTTATATTTCGTTGTGGATATTTTTATTTGTATAAGTACGCTCATGTATACAAATTTTGATATTTATGTCGCTGTAATCTATAAAATTTAATATTAAATAATTCCTACGATAGGATTTATGGGATGAAAACCACATATGAATATGTATATAATATTGTCGGAGTCCGTATTATATTAATCCCTTGATACGTATGGAAACGTGTTCTAATTTTTCGGGCGAGCTTGGGTGCGCCTTTGGTTATTCCTTTGGTTCCTCAATTACAACTCTTTTCCGTTACGATCTCTTGTTTTTTCTTCAGTTAATTATCAAATTGGATCTTCATCTCAGTGATACGGCTGAGAGAGAAGCGCTGGGATCTCTTAGAGTCTTGCCTTATCTTCCACATGTGGGGGAAAGGGCCCGACTTGGATCTCCCTTGGCTGACTGTAAATATTGTAAATAAGCATAAATGTTTTATTTATTTATTTTTGGCATTTATTTTTGTTTTGTTTTTATTTGTCTTATATCATATTTTATTTCATCTGTTTTACTAAGGTTTTTTTTTTTCTTATTTTTGTTATAATTTCTATTATTTTTGTAATTGTATATATTGTTCGAATGAGTTTCTTGTATCTCAAATACTCAATGCCCTTGGTTGGGGCAAAATGTATTTTTTATCAATAAAAAAAAATAAATAAATGATCAAATTCTTCATATTTTATATTTAACCATTTTTCATATTAGGAATTATTGTGAAATGGTCAATTGTTTCAAATAAAAAAAAATTAAAGGTAATTTAGAGGAAGCTAATATTGAAAATTAGCCATTTAAGCGCTGTCAGAGAACATAAATCATAATAATAACCACATTTTATTTAAACTGCTTAATTTTACATTGATATGATGAATTTAATCAAAATCGTTTGAGCGGTTTTTCAGAAAATCGTAAAAAATGTGTTAAGTCCATTATATAACGTGCCACTTCCGGTTAGCCGACTATAAGCAAAAAGTCCCTGTAACATCCCTAGCATATATGGAATTTCACTTCCGTACGACATTTCGATTTTGAGCTAGACTGTTAACACACTGACATACACACACACACAGACCATTTTGCGGGACTTGGTTATTTGTACTCAGGGGACCTCAAAACGTTTATTTCCGTTGAACACTCAAATTCAAAACTTTTCACGATTGCAATAATTAATTACCCTTATTATATATATAATAATAATAATAATGCTTTATTTATTCTGGGACGAGCTCCTTTAGAATAATACAGAAAGACAAAAATGTGGGCTAAGGAGCCTCAGAGATACATAAACAAAAATATAGTGCATAATCAAATTAAAAAAAAAATAATAAAAGAAATTATAAGTTACTTTCTAATTTAAATCAGTTAATAATAATAAAAAAAAGAAAAATTGAAAATAAACATAAAGTAAGAATAATGAGGAACGATCTGATAATTTATATACATATTTACAGTACTATTTACAATTTCATGGGGACTGGATGGATAAGAAACGATTGAACAGGCGGGTTTTAAAGGTAGGAAGAGTTTTGGATTGACGGATGTCGGGAGCGATGGAGTTCCATAGTGATGATAATGAAAGATTTGTCGAAAGCAGCAGTTCGGTGGGCCCTTATGTACAAATCAGAAGACCAGGAACGAGTATTGCGGGAACGAACAGAGGATTCGAATTGGAGGAGCTCGGAGATGTATGAAGGACGGTGGGATTGGATGGCTTGAAAGAGGAAGGATGCCAGGAAATACTAACGACGGTAGGAAGGATAAAGCCACTTCAACTCTTCATAAAAATGGAAAACAGATGCTTCCCCTGGGATCCCGAAGATGAATCGTACAAAGCAATTTATGAAACGTTTTAGTTTTGCCTCGAGATCCCCAAAGACGCCCCCATATACCGAACAGCAATAGTCAAAGTGGGGAAAAATTAATGAAGTTACTAGGAGCCTACGGGTTTCAAGGGGAAATAGGTGACGGGAGTAATTTAGACGTTTTAAGTGGGAAATGGTAAGTGAAATTAAAAAGGTTCATGCAGTTAGAAGTTTATCACATTATAAGTTAGATCACTGAAATAGTTCCTCGTGTGCATTAGACAAATATGAGTCATGAACATTTATAATATTATATGCCTCTAAAATGTCACTTTAAACCTTTTTTAGATTCTAAACAGGTCTTCTTGATGTTCATTTGTGGCTGGAAATGGAGCGGAATGGGCGAAGGACGTTAGGAAATCATCAGCATAAATATGGTTGTAGGAGTCGCCTAAATATTTATCGGCTTCTTATAAATAAAAAAAAATCTCAGGGCCACCTAGAAGCATTCCAGGAAATTTTGGACGGTCTTGGCGGTAACAACTTTATTTTATTTTATTTTTTTAACTTTCATTTTTTTCTCTGAGTCTATTGCTCCTTCAGTTTCACTAACCGGTTCAAATAATTTAGACCGATTGATTAATTAATCTACCTTTATAATTTTTTAGAAACATATATAGTCCGCGGTATGGTGTGCAATATTTAAGTTGACAATGAATATAACTATAGAATATATTTTTAAATTCAATCAGGTATCATTCCACTAACATTACATGATATCATCTCTTCAAATAATAGACACAATTACCTCAGTAAGTGAAAAGTTTTCGATTTATCAAAAAACAAAATAAAAGAAATCAAATTTGGAAGGGAAGAAAACGTACTAAATGTTTAAAATGATATATCTCTGCAACAAATAATCCGATTTCGATGATTTTTTTTTATTTTGTAGGGAATCCAGGAAGCTTTAAAATAAATATTGGTATTATCAGTAAAAAATGTGTACTTTTTGAGTTGTTCGTAAATAAAATACTGAATTCATCATAAAAATGTATGCAGCTTGTTTTCAGGAAGGTATGTTATATACCTAAATTATAAAGGTTTCAAGGGGAAGACTTTAGCCAAGTTTCATTGAAATCGTTAAAGCCGGATTGGCGCTACAGTCTAAAGCGAATCATGTTTTTCGGCCGCCATTTCGAAAGGAAAGGCCCGTTGATAATGAAACGTATACAAAAAAACTTCTAAATATTATTGGGACGTTATGTCTACATTTCGAGGAAGAAATTGAAAAGAAATCGAGAAAGAACTTTCGGAGATAAGCCGTTTTGAACAAACTACCATTTATATTTTTATTCACATACTATTAAATATTTTTATTTATTGATAATACTAAAGCTAGTCAATATCTATTAAACAAAAAATGAAGGAAGAAAATCGGTTGTTGAATAATAGAGGAATAAAAGGGGCTGAACCGATTTGTGTTTGCCTATTTATATAATGATACTGAATACTCATGTGCTTTGCACTTGAATCGTAAGGTAATATGATCACAATGTCGCAAAAAAGCGTGGCCTACAAAAATATGTTTTTTCGACTTTGTGATTATATTATCTTACGATTCAAGAGAAAAGCAAATGGGTATTCTCGTAAATAAAATATTTGTAGGTTACGATGAGATGAAGCTGTTCACGAAGTTTCAGGCGGATGTTAATAATTTGATAAAAAGATGTCTGTACCATGGACTAATATAGAAAATACAGGAATTAATATAGTTCTGTATAATAAATATAAATATCAATAAAATATATAGTTTATCTCAAATAACCTACCTTGACAATTTCAGGACTTGAAATAACCACTGTTGTCCTGTAACCAAAAGTACAGTGGAAACATATCCCATTTTTTCCATACTTGTCTACAATTCCTATCAAATGTTTTTCCATACCTGAAAACGAAATATTTTAATATGTTAATGATATATTTAAATTATATCAGAATAAATGGTAATCTTTAATAATTAAGAAAATGAAATGTTTTTATTTCAATATATATATTTACTGAGAATGTTACTTTGACTATAGTCCAGTATAGTTTGGGGAAAATGCAGCCTTAAGCCAACGTTCAAAAAATGAAACATGTCAGATATTTTGTTGTTGATGAAACTTGTTCATTACTTTTCCCATTATAACTAGTAAAAAGTCTGAAAGAATCCTAGAGTTTCGATGGGGGGGGGGAGGAGGGGGAGATGGAGGACAGGAAAATAATATGTTTTTTTGAGAATTTCTCAAAAACTATAAGGTTTTTCATAAATATTTCTCAGTACAATATGAAATTACTTTAAAATCTCTATAAATATAACTCTATACATTGTTTTGATAAAATCAATGGTTACGGAGATATTTATGATATTATCTTTTATCGTATTTCCAAATTAAGCAAAAATTACTCCAATCCACGAAATTTATATTGTTTATAGTATACAACACGCGCGGATTTACGGAGGGGGGAGGCTTTCGGGCTGAAGCTCCCCTTCCCCCCCCCAAAAAAAAATAACGGTAAAATATAACCATGTCTTATAGAAAAAAATATTAAAAACTATCTCTTGATGTATTATTGTTCGTATAACTACATTTAAAACATTTAAATTTTTAGGGTATTTTATTTCTTTATTTTTAGGTTATTTTATTCTTATTTATTGTATATATATATTATTCTTCTGTATAATTTATTTTATTTACTGTACATTGATTGTGAATATGATCTGTGAACACATTATATTATACATATTATAAATGTCCTTGAGACAGATTGTAATATATTTCAATAAATAAGTTTTACAGTTTGAAAAAGGACTTGAAGAATCACTTAAACACCATTTCATATAGGTAGTTCATTTCTTTATCTTTTTTTCCAAATTAATTATCGTTATATATATGAAAAAAAATCTTTCAGGCTAAAGCCTCCAACCTCCCTCTCCCCAAATTAAATCCTGGATCTGCTAGTGGTATGCGACACCTTTTTGGAATTTAATATTTTTTTTTTTAAAAACATTTTCGATCGTTCAAACTACTATTTAAAGTTTATTTTTTTTAATGGTTTGTAAAAGTCATTGACAACCGAATTATATTGGATATCAACCAGTGCTGCCAACAAACAACACAAGGGTGTCTGTCTGTCTGTAGTTAAACCAATAATACTGTCATATAATCTACTAACAAACGTTTATCAGATTTTCATGAAATTTTATTAATTGTGCATATTTTTGAGCGAACGTATTTTTTTAGATATGCCAATATTTCTGAAATGGCTCGTTCGATTTGGCTCAAAAGGCAGTTTTGGGTAAAAAAATAATGTACTATAAATTTTATTGAATTCCGTCAATTTCCCGTTTATTTTATATATACACAAATGTGTTTTCCTTATCTTTAAAACTGCGCGTTTGATTTTGTTCAGATTTAGAGGGAAGTTAGGTATTGGTAAACAGATAAGCTAGTATATATAAATTTAATCAAATTCTGTCCACTACTTTAAAAAAAATATTACCGCTTTCAAATCAGAAAACGCCTGACTTGAAGGTAATATGGAGAAATTGTCTCAAGTATCCATTTCATTGAATTCCATTTAATAATTAAAATTAATATAAATAACTGTTAAGAATATAATGGCTGTGAAATGTGGAAGGCATTGATCATATGGAATGAGGATTAGGTTTTATTCAAAAAACTAATTAATGCTATATTGTTTTGTCGATTCTAAACGTTATTGCAAAGACATTTACTTCCGTTACTTAGATGTATTGTAATTTTTAGTAAATTTAAATTATTTTTTACTCTGGGTTTGTTATACAAAAATAGTCTTCCTCTCGAATCAAATAGTCTCGATTTCCTCCTTAAACATCAAAGTTATCTGGACTTCACTCATATTTTTATATTCCAGCATAAATTAGTTTTGTTCTGACTGAAGAAAAATATCGGTCTCGTTAACTAATGACATAAAAAAATGTCAGCCAGCAGTTCAAGTACCTCGGATACTGGTTATCTTCAAAGGGTGGTAGTGAGGTTGATATCGAACATAAAATAAATAATGGGAAAAGAATAATATGTTCGATAAATTCAACCCTATGGAGTAAAGAAATATGATTAGAAACTAAAAAGAAGATATACCATTCCTTTGTAGAAAGCGTAGCCACTTACGGATCAGAAGTGGCACTGACAAAAAAGGTGGAAAATAAGTTGCTTTCCATGGAAATGGATTTCTGGAGAAGAAGCTGTGGCATATCTAGAATCGAGCGGATTCCAAACGCAGCTATTAGAGACAAGGTCGGATGTCAAATGAACATCCTTCACCTGATCGGGACCAAACGGCTAAAGTGGTATGGCCACTTAATGCGGATGGATGAGAACCGCTGGCCAAAGAAAATTTATAACTATATGCCACCCGAAAGAAGGAAGCGTGGAAGGCCAAAGAAGAAATGGACAGAGGACGAGGAAGAAAGCATGGCAGCCAGAGGGCTTCGTGAAGGAGATTGGATGGACAGGGAGCAGTGGCTTTTGGGTGTTGGGGATATGACTCCTTAAGTTGTATAAAAACCAAATAAAAAAAAAAATAAAAAAAGTTGACATTTTTACAATGGATTTTTTGTTCCATCCATTGTACTTGTGAAAAGATACTTATTAAATATATATTGTTTCTGTTAGTATAAAAGGTCGTATATAAATTTTTTCAATTTTTATTCTATTTGTGCTAAAGATGATATTTTGTTGTCTAAATATCAGAAGGTAACAAAATATGAAAATAAACTAATAAATTATAAAGAAATAATTAGTTCTTACGCTCTCCTGTAAAATACTCTTCTTACGTACACATTGTCTTCAAGTGCAAAAGGTTCGAGAAGCGAAGAAGAATTAGTTTAGGATCGCAAACTACGGATGATGGAGCTTACTTAAGTTCATGAATGACATAAAATCAGTCATATAATAAAAGTCGTCGCTTATTCTCAGTTAATTGTAAATCTAATTCATCTCAGTTTTTAACCAATAGTCTTTCTAGTTTCCATAATATCCAATAATATAATATCTAATATCCAAGTCCCATATAAGTTACTTTCAGTGATCATCCAACTATAAATAATTAATACAAATCCAGTGTAATTTCTGTCTAAAAATGGTAATTTCATCTCACTATGACAATTAAAATATTTTACTGGCAAAATAGGACTCGCTTTTACAAGTCTTAAAGCCAAAAAACAAAACAAAAAAAATGCATCTTCATTATAAACTGGAATTTTAAAAAATTAAAAATCATTAAATATCCAATCTGTAAATGTGAATATCATCTGCATTTTCGTGTTCGTTGATAAACGAAATTCATTGATATCAAACCCGCAAATGTTAAGGGATCACTGTTTTTTTTCCGAAAACGGCTCTCTCGGAAATTTTGTTGTCATACGAAATATTATAGACCTTGAAATATGGTTATTGTTTAGGCAATGAAAATTGTGAGGAAGCTATACTGACTGACCTTACTTGTCAGACTTTTTTTAAATTTTAGTTCTTGCTAAAGTCTAGACACGAGTCGCTTTATTTTTTATTTTCAAGGTCTACCCTAATCGATATTTTTTTTTGGAAACCTAATATCCGATGTTCCAATGTCTGACAATTTTTACTTTCACTTACATATTTGTGTAATATATAGTAAAGAAAAGTATTGCGATCGTGAAAATTTTCGAATCTCAACGGAGTTATCAATCTCGAGTTATCAACGGAAATACACGTTTTGAGGTCCCCTGAAAATAAATAACCAATGGTCTTTGTGTCTACGTGTGTGAGTATGTATGAGTCTATGTGAGGATGTATAAGTCTAGCTCAAAAATGGAAAGTCGTACGAAACTGATATTACGTATTTAATGTATGCCTTCTGTTGCTTTAGTGCCCTCTCTCAGTTTCCACTGGACTCCTGCCGGTGACGCAGCTGAGAGAGAAGCGCTGGGATCTCTTAGAGTCTCGCTTTGTCCTTCACACGTGGAGGAAAGGGCTGGACTCGGAGCTCCCTTGGCTGATTGTAAATTAAGTATGAATGTTTTTCTTTTTTATATATTAAGTATGAATGTTTTTCTTTTTTATACATTTATTTGTTTTACTTATGACTTATTTAATTTGCTACCAATTTCTGTATTTTTTTTAATTTGATTTCAAGTTACATTTCTTTAGTTTTATAGTTTTTACCTTTGTTATATAGATATATTTTTATTTTTTATTTATTTATTTATTTTTATTTTTATTTTTATTGCATTGTATATATAGTATGAATGGGCCTCACTCAGCTTTAGTACTCAGTGCCCTTAAATGTGGCAAAATGTATTATTTCTCAATAAAAAGATTTAAAAAAAAAAAAAAAATGTATGCCTTGAATGTGACAGCAACATTTTCGTTAAAATCGATTAACTGGAAGTGACACTTTATATCAACGGTTATACACATTTTAACATTTTTTTCAAATACGGCTTCAACGATTTTGATTAAACTCGGTATCATTGTATAATTTAGTGGCCAGTAATATCATTGAGGTCTTATCCCCATTGATGTCACTTTACTGGTTTTAAATGTTTAAATATTGAACGTGTTTTCCTCTAAAGCACCTTTAATTTGGTATACTTTAACTAATATTTCACCTATCATTATTAAGATTTACGATAAAATGCTAAGTGCAGCTTTTGAAAGAATTTGATTTGAAAAATGAAGAAAAAATGGAAAATGTTCATTGAGGTCGAAAATGAAATACTAGTCAGAAGGTATACGTATAATATATGATTGGGAAACAAAGAATAAAAAAAAAAAACAATATATATGGAAAGTCGTAGAAAGTAACGGAGAGTGACAAAAAAAATATATATATAAAAACTAATATTATTTAACGGAAATTGCATTACATTTCAAGAAAATCAAATGAAATTTACTAACTAAAAGTAAACATTTTTAAGTTTGAAAAAATTGTTTAAAATCTAACAAATTAAGGCAATTAAATTGTTTAAAAAACTATTTTATAGTTCTTTAATAGTTGTTATAATATTAAATACGTTTACTGTAGTTTAATAACTATAGATCTGATATTTTATTCAAATAATTAAGTATCAACGTCCGTTTATTCCGAATAATTGTCATGTAACCTTTTAGAAAATTAAATTAATAAATAATTTGTGAAATACAAATTTTATCCGTTTAATATTAGTGCATAAACTTTTGACCTATCTATGGCATGCTAAGAAAATCTCGTAATTTCTTTAGAGTAAACTTTAATCATTTATAAGTTGAATATAGAGATATAATTTCAAATTTCTCTAGGCATATATATATATTACTTAGACCGGAATCATGTGGTTTAGAAGACCATATTGTGTATACTGAGGTTTTTATTGATATAATTAATAGAGTTTTTGTTATTTTTATGGTTTTAATGATTTGTTAGCAGTAAACTTTAAGCTATAGCTCCGTTAAAAGTGCACTTCAAACATTTTATAATTGCTCAAGCTCGCCAGAAAATAATTTATATTCAAAGTAGAGGGGTAAATGATAGTTGTTTCGCGCAACAGATTTTTTTTTTTTTTCAAACGATATTATAAATATTAAAATGTAATAAATGTTTTCAACGAATGTATGTAAAATATTTTATTCGAATGAAAATTAAAAATTTTTTTTTGTCTATAAAATATGTATCTGCGCCTGTCAACTTATTGTTGACAATCAGCAAATGTAAAGGCTACACATGATATAATGACATGACAGGCATGGGGAAGGAAAGTACTCAGCAGTACCTCTTCCCTGACTTGTTCCAATTACTTAGGTTGTTTAAGGAAGAAGATCTCTCATCCAACGCCTTTTTAGTATCCTCCTCATGTTCTGAGGTATGTCAGCTGTGGCCATGTCTCTTATAAGTCTGTTATTATGTCCATTTAAATTCGTGTAAAATCGTTGATAAAGGGTCGTTATATGTTGGTCAACTGTTGGAAAGTGGAGGTCAGTATGTAGAGTTTTCTTAGACACGTACCAAGGTGCTTTTGTTATGAGTCGCAATAATTTTGATTGGAACGTTTGAAGTTTTTGTAGGTGGGTCTTTTTATATATTTGTATATTGGGCCGTTTATTTTTGATGAGTATGTCCATATGGGCTTAAGTAAGTATGTATATATATTCAGTTTCTGTTTTAGTTTTAGTTTTGAAGATTTGGCAAAACGATAGTAAAGTAGTTTGAGTCGTTTGTTAAGTGTCATACGTTTCATTTTAACATGTAGGCCCCATGTCATCCTTCTGTCGAAGGTGTTTCCAAGGTAAAGTACCTTATAAATAAAATTAATTTATTTTATTCCACAAATATTGTAAAAAAAGTTAACATTTTTATAATACAATTTTAACAAATGTTCCCCGGTCATACATCATTTTTCTTTTCAAACAGAAACTCTAATCAATTTTTTTTTCTATCCAAAATTAGGCTTGAAATATAATTCTTATAATTTTAAGTTTCAATATTTTTTGGTTACAATTAAAATAATGATATACGAACAAGCGACTTAAAGTTATGAAATGATTTTTGAAGAATAAAGTTGGACAGAATGAGATGTCTAATAAAAAAAAATAAATAAAATACAAGAAGAACTTCTCCAGAAAGGCATAAATAAGATCTTAGTAAAACCGGTGGTATTATACAGAGCGGAAATAATGGGTTTTACTATCACAGAGAAAATTATGAAAATTGAAAGATTCTGAGGGGTACCCACGGGCCAGGAAATAGATGAAGAGAATTGGCCGAAAAAGAACAAGGAGCTATATGAAGACATTGAAGACCTAGAGATATCAATGAGGAGAAGAAGTTTGAAGTTCGCGTGAATAGGATGGGAAAGAATAGATTGAGTAAGCGGATGATTGACGAAAATACAAAACTATCTATCTAAATCATTTGTGGGTGTCAGTTCTGTACCATTTCATGTAGTATATAGAGTCTTAAATCTATAATAATTTTAAAATCGTATAAAATAGTGTTATTTCGGTTGTGGATTTCATAATTAAGAGACTTTTTCTTATCTATGTTAGTTAGATCTTGCTCATACTTACTGTCCATAGTACAAATGAACAGTGTTCTGTAGAAGTAGTAGAGGTTTCCGAAAACAGGAAAACCCAGAAGACCAGGATAAGAATATAGCTTCCGGACCCGAAGCCACAGTAGCAAACCTAAGACGAGGTGAGCCACCACAATCATCAGAGCAGCGGTTGCAATAATCTCCATTTTCCTGAAAAAATGTATTTAATTTTATGAATTTATATTTATATTCCCTGTATACTCCAGATTATGATACCTACGTCTTGAAGAAAAATTCTTTAATATCTCGATAATTAATTGTCATGCACCTACTGAAGTGTCATCTGAAGAAGAGAAGGACACATTTTACGAAGATCTCTCTAATGTCCTCAAGATTTGTCCAGCATATGATGCTAAAATAGTTCTCGGAGACTTGAACGCACAGATGGGCACGGAAAGAATACACCTACCATCAATTGGAACTTTTAGTCTTCATCAGAACACAAATGCCAATGGCCAACGAGTGATTGACTTTGCGAACACTCACGGCCTGATGGTCGGAAGTTCCATGTTCCCAGGCTAAAATATACAAAAAGCTACCTGGTGATCACCTAATGGAGGGTTAACATCCAGATCGACCACATCTTAATCAGCTCTCGTCACAGGTCCAATTTAATTGGAGTAAAAACATATAGAGGAGCAAATGTGGATTCGGATCACTACCTCAATATTGCCACGAAACGGTACTCGGGTATTGGAGAAGTTGTGGAGAAATTAAATGTTCACAAACTGAAGGATTCTGAAGTGTGGGAAACCTATCAGCAGCACCTTCAAACTAAGCTGGAGGAGGAACTAAGGGATACGACCAGTGGATGACCAGTGGTCGGGAGTTTCAAGAGTGCTGAAAACTACTGCAGAGGATATCGTTGGATTACAGACAAGAAGCAGGAGGTCTCCTTTGTTTGATGATGAATACTTTGAGGCAACAAATAAGAAAAATGAAGCGTATAAGAAGGCTATCCAGCGCCATACACGTCAAACACACGTGACATTCCGAAAGGAAAGAAGAGAGGAAAAGAGATTGTACAGGAGAAAGAAGAGAGCATGTAAGATGAAGGATGTAGAAAACTGCAGGACAACTCGTGACACTTCTTCCAGAAAGTGAATGAGGGCCGTAATGCCTTCAAACCAAAAGTAACTACGTGCAAGAATGAGGACGGGGACTTGTTAACGGAGGGAGGAGAAATTTTGAAGAGATGGGCAAGGCATTTCAGCGGTGCGCTTCAAAGAGATAACTATGAAGAAGAAATAGCCAGAGGAGAGGACGACTTTTCTAACGATACCGAGCCCCCGGGTGATGAAAATATAGAACCGGGCAGAGCGAAGCTGAAAAACAACAAGACTCCAGAACTGGATAGAATTCAAGCGATGCTGGGACGCTATGGAGGAATGCAACTAAGAAAGAAACTCCATAATCTCATTTTGAAGATATGGGAGGAATAGAAAATGTCTGAGGAGTGGAAAAGGGAAATTATCTATCCACTGCACAAGAAAGAGAACCAATAGGTTTACTACGATTATCGAGGTATAGTGCTCCTCTCATGTGTCTATAAAGTTCTCTCTAACATACTATTCGAGAGACTAGTTCCTCAAGCCGAGATATTAATTCAATATCAATGATTACCTGATTAAAAATACAAAATAAAACTTAATGACTACACAAATTTTATACATGATTAGCTAATTACATTCACAATCAGTTACCAGATCACTGTAAGTAATCAAGTAATCATTGATTATGTTGATAATCGTGTATGGTTTATTTGTTGGTTGGAAATAGAGGATTACAAAATAAATATAAAATCAAATCAAAATTTTTATCTGGATTTTTAAAAATCATTTAATTTTTATTAAGAGTGATCTTCTTAAACAACTTTTTTACAATAAACAATAATAATAATTCTTAGGTAATATTTTTTTTTTTAACATAATTTTTTTGTCATCCGTATGTTATATTTTATGGCTAGAGTAGTAAGTTGAGAATATTTTTAGCAACTACTAGCAGCAGAACATTTTCATTTGCGAAATTCATGAGAAATTTTATCTTACGAAATTTACGCATGTATAGTGTAAAGCGATTTCAGAAATATAATATTAAAAATTTAAACATTAATAAAGTATATATAAATACTAATATTTAATTTAATTTGTGTGTAAAAGATGATTTTTGTTTATTGATCACTATTTTTTTTACCACAATTAAATCATTAATATTTGTGTAAAACTCAGTGAGTATTTTTTTATTTAATTAATTAACGATTTTGTTGAGTATAAACACAGTCTGCCACACTAAGGGCATTGCTAGGGCAGCAGTATTCATTCACACAATAACATACGAAAGGAAAATAAAATATCGTTACATCATAGATAGATTTAAATTTGTATTTATAAATCAGACTTGATTTAATGACAAGAGTAAGAAAAAATGTTGTATAATTCGAAGGAAAAAACGCTACAAATTATTTCACAATGGTTTATTATCTCCAAACGATTATACATCTAACGTAACATTACCTTCCGAGTTTCAAAGAAAATAAAACAAAAGGTGATTCCAGTTATTGGATTAAACTGCTTTTTTTTAATCATTAGTAATATGCTAAAAAAAATAGCATTAGTTCAGTAACACATTTAAGATTTAAAAACCAAACCAAGGATATTACATTTGGAGTAGAACACATAAAAAAAACCGGAGACCATATCTTTGCTCCTAATTGTCCGATTTTAACGATTTTTTTTTTTTTGTTTAGGAAATTTCGTAAACTTTAAAAAAAGCTATACAATATCAACAAAAATGTAAAAACTTTTCGAGTTATTAAGAATTTAAATTTACCATCCCTCGTAACTTTTTTTCCAGCTTCTTTTCGTTGAAGTATGTTATATAGATTAATTTAAAGAACGTCGAGAAAATGACTTTAGCGAAGTTTCATTGAAATCTGTACATTCGTTTAGGAGCTACAGTCTATAGCAACGCAGGTCTTTCGGCCGCCATTTTGAAAATTAAAGGCGGAGAGTAATGTCGATGAAGGAGGATCATCCTCGGGTGACCTCTGATTTTATATCAAAATTTGAAAAAAAATCGGTTCAGTGGTTTCGGAGAAAATGCGCGGACGGCGGACGGACCCAAAAATTTTTATTCGTCTTTCGAATTCTACGCGACTTGAAACGTGAAACCTCAAATTTTGAGAGGATTATGTTTTTGAATTTTTTGGTCGATCACAATGTTTCATTATTGAAAATAATAAACCAAAAGTTATGTAAATTATACTGTAAAAAAATTAACTATTATTTATTTTTAATTAGTACACAACAAATACACAACATTTCACACTTCTACTCTCAATCATCCAATTCCACTCGTTCTATCTCTATCTTCCTCCCTGTTTCTTGGTGAGAATCAAAGACGACTAAAAAGGCAGTGGCCTAGAGATCTGTTGAAAAGTTAAGAAGACATCAGGAATTCAAGAAGATATAATTAACGCCAACACATTTGCTTGATGCGTTCCAACGCAGTGGCAAATTTAAAATAACAAAAATTAAATAAAATTAGTATTTTAATAAAACGGTTAAAAAATATTTTGATGATTTTTTTTTATTGTATACTTTAGCAAACGGTTTTAGAAATCAACCATTTTTCACACCATTTTTTTTTTTAATTTAAGTAGATTTTTGAAAAAAACACAAATAATTGCGCCATGGAATTGATAAGGGAACTTTAAATGACAATCCATACTGATCTCTATTAAAAAAAAAAAAATAGATTAGGTTCATTTTTATAAATAAGCGACTCACAAGCTCATATACAGAAGTGCATGCGATTTATAATTGACTGTTAAATTAACATATATTATAGTATTTTTCTATTTTTTCTATATATATTATATATTCTATATACTATATATTATAGTATAAATAAATTATTATTGATCTCTTACCTGTAGAAGATAACGCACCTCCGAGATCTGCTGCGTGGAGACTCAATCAAGAGATTGAGTAGCAATTATGGAAATTAAAAACGCAAGGAGTGGGGATAAGGTTAGAGGGGTATTCTGCGATTTTTCAAGGTAGGGCAGGGACAAGAAATTATTAAAAAGATCGTAAACAGGAACAGGTTACTTGTTAATAGTTTAGGAAAAAATTAACTACGCAATTAAACATAATATCTCATCCTTAAAGTAATTTCTCCCACTTTTCAATAAAAACTTCCTCTCCTCTTTCTGGTTGCGTTGTCATGCCAACTTCTTTATTATTTTTGAATTGAAAACTTCTTTATGCATGTTTTACACTTTTTTTGTGGGGCGTGAATGAAACTGAGCCGGCAGACCCGAATGTAACACTAATTCGGGTAAATTCGATAGGAGTAGACTAATTGTAGTGTTTTTTTTGCATTTGGATTAAAATATCTCAGAAACTAAAAGTCGGACTTGTAACCAAAAGAAATGTTCTGCATTTCATCCTTCTGTAATGAGCAATTGTTCAAAATTGTTATAACGTGATCCGGGTTAGAGAGGCAAAAATCGGGTGCGGCGCGTATATCACACATCATTCACTTACCAACCTCTTCTTATCAGAAATAAGTATTTCCAGACAAAATGGAAGTGAAAGTAAACATTATAAACGCTATATTTATTTATATTTCATTGTGGGTATTTTTATTGTATAAGTATCCTCATATATACAAATTTTAATATTTATATAGTTGAAATCCAAAAAATTAAATATTAAATAATACCAACAATAGCATTTATGAAAACCATTTATGTACATATATTTATACAATATGGTCAAAATCCGTATTATTTTAAGCTCATGTTACGTATGGAAGCGTGTTCTAATCTTTCGGGCGAGCTCGGGTGCGCTCGTATTCCTTTGGCTCCTAAATGGCTGAAACTAAATGACAGAAAGCGGATCCAGACGTGAAACGGGAGACTCTCCCCTCCCCTGGAAGTTGAAAAAACCCAAAAAATATTCCAAAAAACACATATTTAAAGAAAATATCAATAAAGGAAAAATTCATCCTCATAGACGAATTTCCTATTGTTATGACCAAAAAAAAAAAAAGTTTGAATAAATACAATTTCCCTTAGGAATTTTTATTTGTTGGGCGCCTTTCATCTTACCAGCCTTTCATCTCAAAAGAGATAAATCTAGAAAACATAAGGTACTTACTCATTATTTGGCCATCATTAAATATTTAATCTACCATGAAGGGGTATTCAGGTGAGAAGGGGTTAGGTTGGATAATTTTATAAAGCAGCAAAAAAGGTTAACAGATCTATTTACAGAATTAATACTATGCACAATGAAAAGAAATAAAATACAAGGAAAGAGAGAGAATTTAAACATAATTACTATATAAAATTAAAGATAAATAGGAAGATATTTAAGATAATAAAAATAACAAAAAAGATACTTATTCTATATACAATAGTATGGCATGCCACATCTAAACACCAAGAAAAGATATTCAAGATACAAGAGATATAAGATGTAAGAGCACATGCACATGCTAAAATATGTATTAGTAATCTGGCACGGGAAACAAAAAAAAAAAAAAGAGTTTTTTTAAACTTCCTTAATCTTCGTTACAATGTAATATTATAAAAAAAAAAAAAAAAATATCCTGACCAGCACTAGCGAAATCTGCCATCCTTTGCATGGTAGAAAAAAAAATCCAAAAACCACATATTTAAAGAAAAATAAATCTAGGAAAAATTCATCTTATAAGACGAATTTTCTAATATAATATAAAAAAAAGTTATTATCTTTACCAGTACTAGCGAATTATGCAGAAGGCACGGCTCTTCTCTGAATGGTGGTAAAATAATTCTGAAAAAAAGTTCCAAATGACAACTATTTAAAGGAAAGAGATATATTAAGAAAAAATCATCCTCTAAGACGAATTTTCTAACACCAACATCATCCCGAGTTCGACAATCCATTACTGGAACCTTGTCTGCCTCAAGAGTTTTCCTCCATGTTTTCCTGTCCTAAGCAGCCGTCCACCAGTTCCTGATTCGATGGATTCTGGCATCAGCACATACTCCATCTTTCCATCTCAGTTTGGGTCTTTCCACTTTTCTTTTTCTCTTCGGCTCCGTACTCAGAAGGTCGTACAACGTGGCTCTTCTGTCACAACTCCTTCTGTAAGTTGGCTGGTTCTCGGTTGTCCATTCATCATTCTTCTTAACTAGGCCAAATATCTTCCGAAGGACCTTCCTTTCGAAATGTAATATTTTACTCTCACTGGCCTTCGTCAATGCCCGTGTTTCACATCCGTAAGTCAAAACCGGTCGTATAAGGACTTGTACATGAGAAGTTTAGTTGATCGTAGTAATGAGCGAAATTTCTAATGTGATATAAAACAAAATTTTACCATGACCATTACTAGCGAATCCAGCGAGGGGGGGGGGAGCACCCCTCTCTTCCTTGGATGGTGGAAAAAAGCAGCTGTTTAATGAATAGGGAAAATTCATCCTCATAGACGAATTTTCCAATGTCATATGTAAAAAGAAATATCGTTGTGACCAGCACTAGTGAATTCAGCCAGGGGGCACCCCTCCGGGATGGTGGAAAAAATTTCAGAAAAAGTTGCAAAAAGCAGCTATTTAACACACACACACATATATATATATATATATATAAACATACATTTGCATATGTATATACATACATATATATATATAAATATATAAATATAACACTATATATATATATATATAGTGTTATATTGCTCGATTTACAATAATTGATTATTTTAATTAACACTCATTATTTTTATACATCATATAAATTCCTGGGACTTTTTTGAAGGGGAGGGTTGCGATGAACCCTCCCTCCCTAACTCCAATGGAAAATTATCTTTTGCAAGTTTAATCGCAAGGTAATTGCTTGCAAGTGAATTCAACTAATCAGGAATTGATTTGATATAATTATTTATTTTGCGTAACCGCCAGAGCTTTGAACTGAAGGCCACATAAAATAACTTTTTTTTCAAAATGAAAAAAAAAAAATTAAAAAAAGGAATTCTTTAATTACAGTGGCACTACAAACACGGCGGCACAATTTTATTGAAAATGGAGACTCGCGGACTTACTGGCAAAGATTGAAGGAGGAATGGAAAATGGAAACCCGAAATTCTGTTGCTGGGCTTTAGACCACACGGTAGAAGTGAAAAGAACAACAAGGCGAGATTAATAATATGAAATATAAATTATAAATAATACCTAATTACAAATAGGGTCAAATGCCGAACATTTCCCGCGCTTACAGTATGCAAGTCCGATATTTAGCTTCTGAGATATTTTAATCCATTTCTTCAATAAAATCGTTATAATTTGTTTTGTTTTTTCGCCTCCTTCCTTTTCGCCTCTGTAACCGGCCTAATGTTAAGATAAAATTTAGAATAATAGCTCATTACAAATGGTGAACATTTCTCTCACTAATACATTCTCGTATTTCCCACTACTTGGGGTGGCTCTTTCCCTCGTTCAGAAGAGTATTTCCTAGGCAAATTTCTTTAACAAATAACCTATACTCATCGTCCGTCCAACGCATACAATGTCCAAGTCATATCCCTCTCCACAAGATCTCGTCGTTCTGATCTTTATACTCCTTTTCACAAATCTGCCTCATTCCAACACTCCTTTATTGTCCGCCCCACCGTTTTTTGGAATTCCACCCAACTCAGAATCCGCCATACACCATCCTTATCCACATTTAAAATCCTCTTATTCCAATACCTCCTTATAATTCAATCAGACGCTGGGTACTTGCTGGGGACCCTCCATGATTCTTCTATTGTGGTTATTTTTTTAATATTTAAAACTTCTGCATTAATTAATTTAAATTTATGTTTCAATTTTAGTTATGTTGGGATACAACGGTAATTTGTTAATTTTGCAATTAGCCTGATTTTCAGTCTTTCTAGTGCCAAATTTCTTTTGGAATTTTCTTACATAAATCTTGTTACAATTTAGGCATTTTATTTAGTTTATGTAATTTTTCCCTTTATTGATTGGCATTTTTTATTAAATAAATGATTTCTTATTTTAAGCTTCCTTTGTGATGATTAAGCTGTTGGAAGATTTTACGGAAGGAGGCCAGGAAAAGTTAATTCAATCATAGTGGAAACTCCTCATTAAATGTTAGCGAATGGGATTTGGTCCCAACTGAGCTATTTACATATTTATGCAGGTTGCTTGCCTAAAACAGCAAGAAAGACATTGATAAAAAGGTCATCAGAGGTAGAAAGGTCATACGGACTTTAAATTTTGTTTTACGGAATAAAGACGTCATGCTCCAAACTTTATTATAAGCACTGTATCATATGCCTCAGAAATCTGCAAGATTTCAACTGACTCAGCAAGAAAATTTTTATCAATGGGTATGGATTTTTGGATACGTAGCTACAGAATATCAAAACTACAACATATTGAAAATAATGACATCAGGGTTAAAGTGTACGAAGCCCTCAACATCCTGTACTCCATTGAGACGCAAGCTTGATTTGTTTGAGGATGTGATAATAGCGGACGACCGATGGCCTAAAAGAATACTTCAGCATGTACCATTGTAAAGCAGGAACAGAGGTCGCCCGGAAAAGAGATGGTTGGAGGGTTTAGATAAGCAGCAAGGGTTCTCCGGTAGGAAGACTGTTACGATAAAAAGAAATGGCTATATGGATTAGGTTACGACACATGACCTTAAAGTGTAGTAAATAAAGTCGTTTATATACATACATATAATTTGGTTTCATTTTAAACTTTAGTTTATACTGTGGAGCCACTAGAATGCGGTAGCAAACCAAGTGAGTACAGAGGCTTAATAATATATTATTAAACCACTATAAAGTAAGCAGTGGAAAGATTAGAACAGCTAATATCCAAGGTCCTGCTGTTGCCAAATCAGCTAAGGAGGGGAGTTTGATTTTCATCAATTATTCTTTTATTTTTCCAAGATTATTCATTTTTCTTTTTTTTTTTTTTTTTTCTCTAAATGATAGTGTAGACAATGGACTCACTAGGTAGTTTTGTTTGATTGAGCACAAAACAAACTGTCTATTACTAGGATACTGATAACACCTCTTGTTCCAGTAGTAGACAGAAGTGT